GCAGGAATGATGGCTAGTAAAGGGAAGCAGGGAAAAATAATCCCAAAGCGACCAGAGAATACCCAAACTGCATATTTCAGGTAGGGGCAGTGAGGGAAAAACCCCAATCCAACAAGAATACATCAACAAATATGCCAAATAGGGGACCATAATGAACTTTAGGAATATTTGCACACATACCACTTAATTCCTTAGTATTTACATATCTAGCATCTAAAAATAAAATCGTCTTCCCACACACATGCTTATGACCAAAAGAAGGGTGTTATAAATGTAAATGTCAAGCTTTGGGTGTCAGACATGCAAATACATAAGAATTGTGTGTTATAAATGCAAAGTTTCCATTGCTTAAAGCTTTAAGATATACAGAAGGAGAATGAGATAATCAGTTTGGTCCGTATGATCAGGTTCTCAAATAACACTGATAGGATAGCATGCCATGATTCCATAATAGGTATAATGGGGCTTCAAATAAGCTGATATCCTTTGCTTAAAGAAAAAAAAAGCATGAAGTTTCATCACTTTCAAACGAGCAAGGAGAATCCGAAGTCCCAGTCCATAAGCCCCAAAGTAACAAATAACCGATTTCAGAACGATGCCAAACCAACTCCATAAAATCGAAGCCACAAAACTTGATAAAGCTGAACCAAACTAGCTCATAAAGTCGAGGCCACAAGGCTCCATAGCATCAAAGCAAACCAACTCATAAAAGAAGCAATCGATTCCAGGATTTGTATTTGCAAAAAAGTAAACACTCCATTAATCACATAAAACTGAACTCTCTTACATCATATCGATACCCGCCTCAACCTTCATTTGGAACCCAAGTTTGATATATCTTTCTCCCGATTTAGCGACCGACAAGAATAAAACATCTTCAACTTTGATCGAACCATGGTATCTTTTAACCATAAGTACTCCTTATGTTCATTTTTCTAATAGTGTAATTAGCACATGTAAAACCCAACCATTAAAGCTCTCTTGCCCTACTTTATCTCCAGTAAACTCTTGCATTCGTTGGCTTATTATATTTTATGCTCATAGTTAGATTTGATTATTACATCAGCTTGATTTGACCATTCGAATAAAAATTTACCAATATGTGAAGTTAATTCTTATGGAACAATTCTATTACTCATACTTTAGTACTTGTGGGATTACTTGGACTTGTGTGTGTTTGATTTTTATATCACCAATGATTAGCACTTGCTTTTTATAAAATAAATCAGGGAGGTATACTTATATACTGCGTGATTCTTATGGATTTACAAATATAAAAAAATAAAATATACATATTCATGCGTGCGTTTTGATAAGTTTATAACAGTGAACTATTATTATTATAAATATTAAATTTTAGATGTTAGATATATAATGCATAAAATTTTTGCTCTATAGATAAACCAATGTTGCTTTTAGCTATTAGTTTTTCAATAAATAAACCAAAGTTTCTTTTAGCTATTAATTTTTCAATAAATAAACCAAAGTTGCTTTTAGCTTTTAAATTATGTAGGGAATTCTTGACAAGCTCCAACTAACAAAGTCATATCTTCAATAATGAAGTTTCTTTGATGCAATCTTTGAAGGCACCACTATTAGCTTGCAAGTAGCACTTGAAATCTAAGATGACTTCAATGGGCAAATTTATATTTTTTGGCAAATGGCATTGATGATTTTCAAAGATGATGTTAGTGATGCATATAAATTATCTCTAGTGATTACAATGTAATATATGTTGTGTTGATTTTCTTAGTAAAGAAATGATTGAAGTCCTAGAATGTTAGGTGATTATACAATAATATGAATAATCCATGCGACAGTTGAATAATTTTTTGATAGTATCAAAATACAATTTATCAAAAAATAATGAAATTTTGCAATTTAAGTGATTATACAATCATGATGTGCAATTTAAGCCCTAACTTGCTTTAGGATTCCGAGGTTGTAGTTCGTTACGATATAAATCCTCTTATCTTCCAGAGTATTTGTGTGATTGTGTCATGCAAATATAAGCCCTAATTATAAAATTGGCAGGATAAAATATTTAATAAAATCTCTCTGAAATTGAAACCAAACCATATGATAACTTGGGAATTCATTGAGATTCTCCTCAGAATCTGCGACACCCCTTAGTTCTCTCCCTTTGGATTTCATAACAATGTTCCAAATTTGAGTTTTCCCCATTTAACACTCCTTCCGGCCTTTGAAAAGTCTTAGCTTTTGAGATTCTAGAAGAGAACATTTCCGGATCTAAATCGAGAGTTTTTTTAGGTGACCTCGGTCATTTAAGATGAATTAACTATAGAGGCTTGCCATTATAAGAAACTTTGGAACCTAGCCTAAAATAAATCCTGTCTAATTTTTTATATTAGATAGATGAACTTGTCAGTGAGTATAAATGTTTCACAAATTAAAACGGATGTCATTAATTCTTTAGTTTATTTAATCGAGTTTCACGAGGTTAGTAATATATTTATTCCTCGAGATAGATGTATCACTTGAGTGTTGTGCTTGTTTATTTAAATTATTATCTATATGGAATCAGTTTGGTCTCATATTTTCAAAATTTAAATATTATATATATATATATCAAATATCTTTCTCCCGATTTGGCGACCGATAAGAGTAAAACATCTTCAACTTTGATCGAACCATGGTATCTTTTAACCATGAGAACTCCTTATGTTAATTTTTCTAATAGCGTAATTAACACATGTAAGAGCCAACCATTAAAGCTCTCTTGCTCTATTTTATCTCCAATAAACTCTTGCTTTCGTTGGCTTATTATATTTTTATGCTCATAGTTAGATTTGATTATTACATCAGCTTGATTTGACCATTCGAATAAAAATTTACCAATATGTGAAGTTAATTCTTATGGAACAATTCTATTACTCATACTTTAGTACTTGTGGGATTACTTGGACTTATGTGTGTTTGATTTTTACATCACCAATGATTAGCACTTGTTTTTTATAAATAAATAAGGGAGGTTTACTTATATACTGCGTGATTCTTATGGATTTACAAATATACATATTCATGCATGCGTTTTGATATGTTTATAACAGTGAACTATTATTATTGTAAATTATTAAATTTTAGATGTTAGATATATAATGCATAAGATTTTTGCTCTATAAATAAACCAAAGTTGCTTTTAGTTATTAAAACTTCAATAAAAAAACCAAAGTTGCTTTTAGGTTTAAAATTATGTAGGGAACTTGATAAGCTCCAACTGACAAAGCCATATCTTCAATAATGAAGTTTCTTTGATGCAATCTTTGAAGGCACCACTATTAGCTTGCAAGTAGCACTTGAAAGCTAAGATGACTTCAATGGGCAAATTTATATTTTTTGGCGAATGGCATTGATGATTTTCAATGATGATGTTATTGATGCATATAAATTTTCTCTGGTGATTAATATAATATATGTTGCGTTGATTTGCTTAGTAAAGGGATAATTTATCTAGTAATTCCTTGAGATGAAATGGTTATATTGGTGATTTCTTTGTGGTTGGTTCAATTTAATCAAATTAAATTAAATAAATATAAACACATAAAATAAATAATAATAAAGTTATTATGTTATAGTTTTTTGCGACATCACAATTCACAACATTTAAATGATTGAAGTCCTAGAATGAGGCGATTATACAATAATACGAATAATCCATGCGACAGTTAAATAATTTTTGGATAGTATCGAAATACAATTTATCAAAAAATAATGAAAAAAATAAAATTTACGTATGCTGTCCACAACTCTTATCTATTTGCATATTTCACAACTAATCTTTCTTTTTTTACATATATATATATATATATATATATATA